GATATACAACAATTTAAATAGATCATTTTCAAGAGATAAAATATCAGACACCATCAAAAGTCTATGAACCAAGAAAATCCAAGCACCGGACAGATACAGAGCGAAGTTCTACAAGACCTTTAAAGAAGAACTAATACCAATACTCTCCAGATTATTTCAGAAAATAGAAAAAGAGGCAGAACTTCTGAACTCATTCTGTGAGGCCAAAATCACTCTGATTCCAAAATCTGGCAAAGACAACCAAAAGAAAAAAGAAGATAACTTCAGACCAATAACTCCAATGAACATAGACACAAAAATTCACAATAAAATTCTGGCAAATCAAATACAAAATCATGTCTTAGAAAAAATACATACAATTGATCAACCTTTTGGCATGCTAATGAAGAAAATGAGAAAAAAAACTCAAGTAACTAAAACTTGTGATGAAACACTATTGTGATGCACACTATTGAAATACAAATGATAATCACAAAACTACCTTTAACATCTATGCCCTAATAAAATAAAAAGTTGTAATGTCTATTCACAAATTTCTAGATACATATAACTTAACAAAATTGAATCAGAGGTCATAGAACATTTAAACAAATAAATTTCAAGCAATGAAATTGAAGACACTATACAAAGCCCAGAAAAGAAAAGCCAGAACTAGATGAATTCTCAGCCAAGACTTCCAGATCTCAAAGAATAACATTAACCTCCTCAAATTATTTCATGAAATAGAAAGGAAAGAACATTCCAAATACATTCTATGAAGATAGAATCACCCTGATAACAAAACCAGGAAAAGATACATCAAGAAAACAAAATTTCAGATCAGTATCCCTGATGAACATAGAAGCACAAATTCTTCATAAAAATCTGGCAAAATACATACAAAAAAACATATTGAAAAGATAATACACAATGATGACATTGGGTTGATCCCAGGGATGTAAGTTTGGTTCAACCTCTGGAAATCGGTAAGTTAATCTATTACATCAGTAGACTTAAAGACAAGAAGAACATGATTATCTCAATAATTTCAGAAAAGGCATTGGAAAAAATTCAGCATTCAGTCATATTCAAAGCACTACAAAGACTAGGGATAGTAAGACCATATCTCAACATTGTAAAAGCCATATATTTTAAACCCAAGGCTAACATCATTCTAAATGAATAAAAACCTGAATGTCTTGCCTCCAAAAATTGAAACAACCCAAGATGACCACTTTCACCAATTTTATTAAACATGGTCCTTGAAACCCTAATTAGAGCAATTAGAGAGGAAAAAAAAATGTTTAGGGATATGACAAAGAAAATTAGACTCAAACCATCCCTATTTACTGATGGCATGATTGTATATTTAGAAGACCTGAAAACTCCACAAGAAACTTTAGAACTCAAAAAATTAGCAAGTAGCTGGATATAAAATAAAAATTCATAAATCAATTATATTTCTACACACTAATGATGATGCAGCTGAAAGAGAAATTTGGAAAATTATCCCATTAACAATATCCTAAAAAAATGAAATATTTGCAAATCATTTTAGCAAAAGAGGTGAAAGATGTCTACAAAGCAAATTACAGGACATTAAAGAATAAAAATTGAAAGCCTTACAATATGGAAAAACCTCCCATGGTCTTGGATGGGCAGAATTAATATTACAAAAATGGCCATACTACCAAAACAGCTTCAAAACTTTTAAGGCATTTCCTATTAAAATAGCAATTATGATCTTTATTTCTATGAAGAAAAAATACATAAGAAGCAGTCATTAAATTCACTTGAAAAAAAATAAGAGGCCTAGAATAGCCAGAGCAATTCTAAGGGAGAAAACTGAAGCATAAGGCATCACAATACCAGACTGTAAGTTATTCTAGAAAGTTACAGTAACAAAAATGGCATGGTATTGGCACTAAAACAGACATGAATACCAATGGTACAGAATAGAACATGCAGAGACAAACCCACATAAATATAGTTATCTCATACTATCCAAAGGCACCTTAAATATACACTGAACAGAAGATAGCATCTTTAACAAACGGTTCTGGGAAAACTGAAAATCTATATGCACCATAATGAAACTACACCTCTGTATTCCACCCTGCACAAAACTTTACTCAAAGTTGATCATGGACTTTGACATTAGAAAAGAGACTCTGTGCCTACTAGAAAACAAATTAGGCCCAACTCTCCATCATTTCAGCTGAGGAAAAAAAATTCTCAACAGACTCCTATAGCACAAGAAGTAATATCAAGAATCAATAAATGGGATAGTATCAAACTCAAAATCTTCTTCACAGCAAAATAAAATAACGTGAAGAGAGATCTTAGACAATCAGAGAAAATCTTTGCCATTTGTACCTCAGATAGAGCATTAATCTCTATGATATATAAAGAAGTCAAAAAAGGTAACACTCAAAATAAATAAATAAAAATAATTATCCCAATCAATAAGTATAAATGAACTGCACAGACACATCACAAAAGCAAAAATGTTATCGGATAACAAATGTATAAAAATGTTTTCACATCTCTAGCAATTAGAGAAATATAAATTAAAAGTATACTGAGATTTTATTTCACTCTGGTCAGAATGGCAATTATCAAGATACAATAACATTAAATATTGGTGAGGATGTTTGGACCTAGGTACACTCATACAGTGCTAGTGGGACTACAAATGGGTACTAACACTCTGGAAAGCAGTGTAGAGATTCTTTAGAAAACTTGAAATTGAACCACCATTTGACCCAGTTATCCCACTCCTAGGCATTTACACACAGACATGCTTTCAACATACTATAGTGAGTGACACAGCCACATCAATATTTATAGAAGCTTAACTTACAATAGTTAAGGTATGAAACCAACATGGATGTCCATCAACAATGAATGAATAAAGAACATGTGGTACAATTTAGGAGTGATGGTGCACACCTGTAATCCCAGCAGTTTGGAAGGCTGAGGAAGGATCACAACTCCAAAACCAGCCTCAGCAAAATTGAGGTGCTTAGCATTCAGTGAGAACCTGTCTCTAAATAAAATAAAAACAGGGCTAGGAATATGCTTGGTGGTAAAGTACCCCTGACTTCAATGCCCAGTACCCCCCCCAAAAAAAGGAAAAAAAATGAAAATGTGGTACATATAAACAATAGAATATTACTCAGCCAGAAAGTAGAATGAAGTATGATATTTACTGATATATGGATGGAATTTGAAGAATATCATGCCAAGTATCTTAAGCCAATACCAGAAAACCAAAAGCTGAATACTCTGTCTGATTTGTGGATGCTAACACACAATAGGTATGGAGAAGTTCACTGGATTGGACAGAGGGGAGTAGGTAGAAAGGATGAAGGATAGGAATGGGAAAGATAGTAGAATGAATCAGAAAAAACTTTCCTATGTTCATACATAACCAGTGTAACTCGTCGTCATGTACAACAACAAAAACGAGATGTTAAACTACATGATATGTAAAATATGTTATAATGTCATGTATAATTAAAAAGAACAAATAAAAGGAATTATAGATAGTCATATTGTACACATGTGTGTATGTAAAAAATAAAAATAAAAGAATCTAATTAGTTATGTCAGAAATGGTCTCTGGATATAAAGACGTAATTCAGGCCAATTTCCTTTTTATGTTCCGTTTTCTCTTCCATCTGTTATAACATGGCACAACAGCATCCCCAGGTGCCAGTGTCATGTTAATGGGCTTCCCAAGCTCTAGAATAATGAAACACATAAACTTATTCTGTTCAAAATTTACACATTCTGTGGTATTGTCATTGCAATTCTAAAATAATCAACACATGACATCTAGCTAGGCATGGTGGTGCATGTGTGTAATCCTAGTGACTTGGGAGTCACCAGTATCCAAAAATTACCTCTAAAAATTAGGAATAAACATTTAGCACTACTTAAAGTTGGATAAAGATAGTGTAGTAGATAAGCATGTCTAAAAGCCATCTCAGAAGGAAAAACAGGTGCCTGAATGAATTATAGTTTGGGGGCTCTAAGAAAATATTTATTTTATAAGAAGCAATATGAATATAATCCAGGATAGATTATATTTTCTTCTATCTGCTGAATAACAAATATATTTTAATTTACATGTGATCTGCAAAAAAGGATCTGAAAGAAGAAGTGTGCAGGGACCATAAAGATTGTGATGTATCCTCAGTAGGATGAAGTACAATTCAACTCATCATGGAAGACACTCAAAAGCAGTGTTTAGAGTGGAAAAATACATTAAGGAAGGAATAACTACTGTATTATTACATTTATAAAACTTTAAAAGAGTAAAAACTGACCAAATACCACAGAGAGCAAGTCACTGTTGCCTGGGAGGTGCTGTGAGAAGAGATAGAGGTAGTATTCCCACAGGGGACAAGAGGCTTGTGGGGTTTGGTGGGTTTCTTGACCTTATGTGTGGATGTTCTCAAATGTTGAACATATCTCAATATTTGTACAAAATTTCACTTCTGGGTAGTTGAATGTCTACCAAATATTCCACAATAAGAAAAGTTATATAAAAATAGGCCACAACAAGAATCACTGGTGTACATAAAGAGAACCAGTAAGAGCATGACACAGCTATGAATCTCCTGGAAATATGGAACAATGAATGCAGAAACCACAGAATTCCCCATCAGATGTCAAAACTGAGATAATCAGGGTTGCACTGTCTGCTGCATCACCTAAACTTCAGGGAAAGCAGACCACAGCATCCTGAATGTTCATCATCTCAAGCTAAAGAGGAGCAATTGTTTAGGTTTATATGGAGACATTTTCCTAGGAACATCCTGCTGTGAGTAATTCTGAGGACAGAGGACAAGGGGCTCCTCACTCAAAGAAGTGCCAGGAGATTAAGCTGGGCCTATAGTACTGGAAGCAGAAAAAGCCAAAAAAAAAAAAAAAAAAAAAAAAAAAAACCAAGCCTGAGCAAAGCTGCTGGGTGTTTGCTCTCCTGACAGATGGTAAAGGGGTTTTTGTCTTACTTCCCCATGAGTCTGGAGCACTGTGTAATAACCAAAGCTACTGTCAGGAGACTGACAGTAATAGATACCCTCATCCTCAGGTTGAAGCCCAGTGATGGTCAGTGAAGCGGAGTTGCCAGTCTTGGAACCAGAAAAGCGATCAGAGACCCCTGAGGGTCGATTACTATTACCATAGATGAGGAGTTTAGGGGCTGTTTCTGGGAACTGCTGGTACCAGTTTACACTATAGGTACCAATATTGGTGCTGCTTCCAGTGCAGGAGATGGTGACTCTCTGTCCTGGAGTCCCAGATAGTGAGGGCTGCTGTGTCAGCACAGACTGGGCCCAGGACCCTGAAAGAGAGAGAGACACAGAGAGAGTGATTTTTGTCTGGAAACAAGAATAGAATCAAGATCCATATCAGAGGATTCCCACACCATATTCCTCTTCCATATCATGTCACCTGTGCACTGAACAAGGAATGTGAAGAGGAGACAGGACCAGGCCATGGTGAAGGTCATCCTGAGCTCTGCCTTCTATTCACGATGCTGAGCAGAGTGTTCCCAAATCTCTCCCTTGCCTTCTTAATACACTGAGAAGGGGAGTGTCTGTCTATGCAAATTAGGGTCCTCCAGGTTTTCTAATTGCACCCTGGGCCCTGGTTAACACTCATGTATATACACATGCCAAGAGGGTGTGCAGGGGTGGAGTTGGGTTGGCTCAGGGAAATGAAAGGTCACAGCTGTGAGCCCTAACAAGAGAATGTCAGGCAGAGCCAGGTGGCTTATTACAGTTCTGGTTACTTCCCAACCCTTCTTAATGGGTCTGCAGTGCCACCTATTGTCCAAGCCCATTCACATCATCATGTGACATTCTGATCAGAAGTCCTGAGACTTCTTGCATCCCCACTGAATATTCAGGTGAGTAAGCCCTTCTGTGGCCTCCCATTACTTCAGGGTGGTCATCTTGCTTTCCAGTCTCCTCATGGTGAATTCATGCATAGTTCACTTGACACCTCACTGTACTGAACTAAGATGGAGTCTTCAATATATATTCTTTCCAGATCAGGATTAAGCAGGTGAACATAAAGTGTCTGGATTTATTATGTTGCAGGGTACCATCATGTTTATCTACAACACAAAAACTTTGTTTCAGAGATCTTTTCACCTTGGACTTGGCAAGAAACTTAGTTGTGAAATCTTATGAGTTGCCATTCAGAAGGTATTTGTATGCATGTTTTCAAGCTTTCTCAGTTCACATGTTTGTAATCCTTATTGCCATTAAGTGATGGAGGGTTGTGACTATCAGCTAGGCACATCCATATAGCACTTCAGCCACCATTGGCTACATGCAATACCACAGAGACTGTAGATGCTGAAAGGGCTGAAGTTGCAGGACTTGTGAATGTTTTCAGTCCTGGATGAAAATGTCCTGTCTCCAAGGCAGAGACAAGGATGCAAGTGATCTGGGGATGAATATCAGCCTTTTCTTCATATTTGTTCAATATAATTCAGTGTATTCCACAAGGGTGAAAAATTCCAAATGAGGGATTTTTTAAAATGTTTTATTTCCTTTTTTAATTTTTATTTCTATTTTTAAATTTTTAATTATTTAATTTTATTTTTATTATTATTTGATCTTACTAGTTATATATGACACTAGAATGTATTTTGACAAATTATACATACATGGATTATAAATTTCAATTTTCCAGTTGTACATGATGTATATTATATTGGTCATGTGTTCATATATGAATATAGGAAAGTAATGTCTGATTCATTCTACAATCTCTCCTATTCCCAATCCCCCTCCCTTCCCTTCATTATCCTTTGTCAACCCAAAGTACTTATATTCTTCCTTACATGCCGGCCCTCTTTATGAGTTAACATGAAAATATCAGAGAGAACATTCACAGTCTGTTTTTTGAAGAACGTCTTAGTTCACACAACCTGATAGTCTTCAGTTCCAACTATTTACCAGCAAATAACAGTTTTCTTTTTCTTTATGTCTGAAAATATTCCATTGTTTACATATATCACATTTTCTTTATAAATTTATGTATTTAAGGGCACCTAAACATTTCCCATAGTTTAGATATTGTGAATTAAGCTACTGTAAACATCGATGTGACTGTCTCAGTATAGTGTGCTCATTTCATGTCTTTTTTGTATAAACTTAGGAGTGGAATAGCCAAGTCAAATGGTGGTTCCATTGCAAGCTTTCTGAAGAATCTCCGTATAGCTTTCCAGGGTGGTTGTACCCTTTTGCATTTCTACCAGCAATGTATGTGTGTACCTTTATCAAATTTATTGTTCCTTATATTCTTGAGAATAGCCATGGTGACTGGAGTGAGATGGAATCTCAGTGCAGTCTTAATTTGAATTTCTCTAACTGCTAGAGAAATTGAATATTTTTTCATTATTTTGATTGTTCCAGATCGCAAGATAGGTGGCATGTGCCATTCTGTGGCCTAGAAACTTTCATATTTAAAAATGTAACTCACTTCATGGTAGGTTGGTACTCTTCAATTCCAGCACAATTTAAAATAGACTGAAGTAAAAATCAAGCAGCTATGTTTATTTCACTGAGAAGAGAAATTATGAACATTAAGAAATCTAATATTTTTCATATTTATGAAAGTGATAGTATAAAGATTAAAAATATAACATTTTAAAATAAATTACATTAAAATGAAATGTTCATAGAATATAAATATTGTCACGTTATTTAAATTTGTGAAATTTTAATATTAAATAATAATTATCATTTCCTCCTTCCTCCTTCTTTTGTTGCTCTGTAAGGAACAGACAATTATAGGTTACCTTGTGATTTTTTGTAGTTTTTATTAAAATATATTTTTTCACCTTCACATGGTACTCTCAACTGCAATGAATGTTAATGTCCTGCAGATTTTTCCTTTCCACAGGACAAGCTTCACTTTCCCTTCAGTTAAAAAAGAACAAGACAAAAATATCTTTATACTCCATTGCATATCAGATAGTTTAATTCTCCTCTTCTTCATGAGTGTACCCATATCTACCAGCATATAAAGATTTTTTTTATTATCATCCATAATTTTATCTTTAGATATGAACCCAGAACATTTGAACTCTTTACACCAAGAAACATTAAACTAATTATATAAAATGACCAAAGTTTCCAAAAGAAAATTGCAGTTAGAAAATAAGCACATTATGATGCAACAGCAAACAAGTCCAATCACTCTAAAAAGCAGTATAAAGATTCCTTAGAAATCTTGGAATGAAACCATAATTTGACCCAGTCTTTCCACTCCTCAGCATATACCCAAAGGACTTAAAATCAGAATACTACAGTGACTCAGACACATCAATGGTTATAGCAGCTCAATTCACAATACTCAAGCTATGAAACCAACTCAAGTGCCTTTCAACAGATGAATCAAAAGAAAATATGATATAAATACAAAATGGAATATTACACAACCATAAAGAGATATGAAATTATGGCATTCTCTAGTAGATGGATGCAACTGGAGACTATCATGCTAAGTGATACAAGCCAGTCCCCCCAAAAAAAAACAAAGGCCAAATGTTCTCTGTGATATGTGGATAAGCCCAAGTGAAAGTAGGGAGAAGAATTGAAGTTCATTTTATAGACAAAGAGGAATAAAGGGAAGGGAGGTGGAATGAGAAAGGAAAACAAAGTAGATTAAATTAGACAAATATTTTCTTTCTTCTTCTGATTTATTCATATAGGAATAAATGCCCAGTGTAACTCTGTATCATGTTCAATAACAAAAATAGAATCAAAATTATAATAGGTCTCACCTCATGTGTGTGTGTGTGTGTGTGTGTGTGTGTGTGTGTGTGTGTGTGTGTGTATATATATATATATAAAGATATATGCTGTCATAGACATCTAAAAACAACAAATAAGAAAAGAAGCCCATGAAATTACACTAAATCTCATCATTTATCAGAAGGAATATATTCAAGTAGCAATGAAATGAGCTATACCTTTGTGGGATGGTTTAATATTCCCAAACACAATTTTGTGGAAAGAAACATATATTGAAACTGTTTATTCACTGTTAATCCAGGTGCTTGAAGGTGAAGTTGAAATCAAAATGAATGATGATTTATGCTCTGCTAGAATAAGCTCGCCCATTCACTAAATTTAATCTGTGGATTACTGCGTAGACATAGGTATACACTTGTTATTCATAGGAAGAATAAACCACTTAAATAAGGTTATTAGCCTAAAATTATATTAATTTTCTTTATTAATTTAAACTCAATTGTAGATATAAGACTAAAAAGATGGAGGATTTTAAATGCACACAGTTCTTTCAACAAGATTTGACATTATGATAAAAGTAATATAAACTAATTTTATTCTTAAGTTCTAAGGCTTTGAAATATTAAAATTTGAAATTAAGTTTGGAAAATATTTCACATGGGCAAGAAAACTTATTTTTAAAATATCATTCTTACTGCTTCCACTTGGAGAAGAACATCTGAATTCTATTATTCACATGGTTAATTTACATGAGTCTATGATTTTGTAGCTTTTTTTAAAAACAAGCAAATAAAGAGATGAAATTAAAAAAATCCCTTATATCAATCAGCAGAGATATCTTGGATGTTTACATGTTCAACTCAATGATACTGTTTTAAGGAAAATGCATTTACACAATTTAGGTCTAATTTGCAAGGACAATTTCTGTGCCTGATGGGTAGACACTGAGCAATAATGAAATTTATTACATATACATATATATAATTATGTAAGAAAAATAAAAGGAGATATAGAAACAAGAGGCAGAGGCAGGAAAGATGGCTGCTTATCCAAGTTACCACATTTATTTACACCAATAAGTTACATTAAGTCAATAGTGCCATAAGTATATTAAACTGTTTTTGGTATCAGCAAGGCTGCTTATTCTGCAGTTACTTTCTACAGTTACAATCTGCAATGTTAAGAGCTTTGTGCAGCCCTAAAGAAAGTCCATTGTCTGCAGCTACTGTTAGGTAGGCAGATCCAGTAGTGATGGGGTTTGGTGAAACATTGTATTTATCTAGCAAGTAACTTCTTTGATTCCCAGGAGCTATGTACCTGAGATCAAAGTCTAGGCTGATAAGAATCTAGCACAGAGCCTCCTTATTCAAGACATTGCCACAGTAACTAGACATTGCACTTGTATTAGTTATCATACTAGTTCCTAGAAGAAACTACAGGGCATTCTAAGGATAGGGAACACAGTACCTGTTGTCCCTCAGGAGTTTTCTCACCAGAGGAATGCTTGCCTGTATATTTCCATGGTCAGAATCCATACATAATTTTGCATAATTTATAATTGAAATAAAATGTTGTTATATATTAAATTATATGGATATTATGGGTTATCCTCTTGATGGGTTTCAACTTCTGTACCATATCTCTTTGCTGATGATATTTTACAATGTTATTAAGTTTAGATTTAATATAAATTTTTGTAATTTTTTTTTGGTTTTGTTTTATACACTTTCTATGAGTATTGTGTAATGGGA